TTATTTAATGCATTATTAGATGTGAACTACTGATGGTTGAGGGGACCCATACTCTGCCAACATGTGAAGCAAATCCCACCTTTTTGTCCTGAAATAGATTAATATGTGCAGACTAAGTATATTCTACAAGAGAAAAAGGACCAATTGCAAGTACAGTACAATTATATAGATGCTACAGTACAATTATATAGATGCTAACTAAAATTTTGTGTTTTTATCCCCCAAATTTCCACTTGACATTTTTTTCTTCCATTCGCCAGTTTCCACCAAGTGTTTGATGCTTTTTGCCAACCCATCAGGGCCTACCCGTGCCAACCCCCAACCCCAAATTGTACTCTCCTTCTACGGTCTTTGCCTCTCATATGCCTCGAGCAAAATTTTCGCCTCTGCACCTTTAATTGAATTGATGATTTCTGTTACTAATTTGTTGATACAAGATTTCCACATCTCATCTGTTTGGATACAGAGGAGACTGATCCCACTACATATGGAGGACCCTTAGATCTCTCAAAATCACAAGATGGGATTCCTGCCTTGGTTTTGTGTTTTTCAGGTAAGTTCTCAACAATTCCTCTCAGAATTGGAGCTGTTCCAATATAACTTTTGAATAGAAAGTTTGAAAAAAAAAAGGGAAAAAAAGAAAAAGAAGAGTAAAGAGAGAGAGAGAAGAAGATAAGATAATGTTAATGAAATTAATATTTTTTCCACGCACATGTGATGAGTTTTAGCCAAAATGTGTCAATTTTCGTTGGAGGGGAGGGGAGAAGATAAGGTTGACAGTGTTTAGCTTTTAATTTTCTTAACTACCTATTTGAATTTCTACATTTTATTTTTTAATACATTATTGGATGTGAACTGCTGATGGTTAAGGAGACACATACTCTGTTGACATGTAAAGCAAATCCCACCTTTTTTGTGCTGAAACGGATTAATATATGATGACTGGGTATATTCTACAAGAGAAAAAGGACCAATTGCAGGTACAGTTCAATTAAATAGATGCTAAATAAAATTTTGTCTTTTTATCGCCCAAATTTCTACTTGACATTTTTTTTCTTCCATCTGCCAGTTTCGACCAAGTGTTTTATGCTTTTTGCCAGCCCACCAGGGCTTACTCGTGCCAACCCCTTACCTTAAATTGTACTCTCTTTCTACGGTCTATCCTTCCCGTATGCCTCTGGCAAAATTTTCGCCTCTGCAGCTTTAATTGAATTGATGATTTCTGCTGCTATTCTGTTGATACAGGGTTTCCACATTTCATTTGTTTGGATACAGAGGAAACTGATCCCACTGCATATGGAGGACCCTTAGATCTCTCAAAATCACAAGATGGGATTCCTGCTTGGTTTTTGGGTTTTCAAGGTTTTCAACAATACCTCTCAAAATTGGAGCTGTTCTAATAAAACTTTTGAATAGAAAGTTAGAAAAATACAAAAAGGAAAAAAAGAAAAAGGAGAGTAGGGATAGAGAGAAGAAGAGAAGATAATTGTAACGACATTAATATTTCTTCCACGCACAAGTGATGAGTTTTAGCCAAAATGTGTCAATTTTCGTTGCAGGGGAGAAGATAAGATTGACAGTGTTCAGCTTTTAATTATCTTAAATAGGTAGTCGAATTTCTACATTTTATTATTTAATGCATTATTAGATGTGAACTACTGATGGTTGAAGGGACGCATACTCTGCCAACATGTGAAGGAAATCCCACCTTTTTGTCCTGAAATGGATTAATATGTGCAGACTGAGTATATTCTACAAGAGAAAAAGGACCAATTGCAGGTACAGTACAATTATATAGATGCTAACTAAAATTTTGTGTTGTTATCCCCCAAATTTCCACTTGACATTTTTTTCTTCCACTCGCCAATTTTCACCGAGTGTTCGATGCTTTTTGCCAACCCACTAGGGCCTACCCGTGCCAACCCCCTACCCCAAATTGTACTCTCCTTCTACGGTCTTTGCCTCCCATATGTCTCTAGCAAATTTTTCGCCTCTGAACCTTTAATTGAATTGATGATTTCTTCTGCTATTCTGTTGTCAAAGGATTTCCACATCTCATCTGTTTGGATACAGAGGAGACTGATCCCACTGCATATGGAGGACCCTTAGATCTCTCAAAATCACAGGATGGGATTGCTGCCTTGGTTTTGGGTTTTTTAGGTAAATTCTCAACAATTCCTCTCAGAATTGGAGCTGTCCCAATATAACTTTTGAATAGAAAGTTAGAAGAAAAAAGGGGAAAAAAAGAAAAAGGAGAGTAGAGAGAGAGAGAGAAGAAGATAAGATAATGTTAATGAAATTAATATTTTTTCCACGCACATGTGATGAATTTTACCCAAAATGTGTCAATTTTCATTGGAGGGGAGAAGATAAGGTTGACAGTGTTCAGCTTTTAATTTTCTTAACTACCTAGTTGAATTTCTACATTTTATTTTTTAATACATTATTGGATGTTAACTGCTGATGGTTAAGGAGACCCATACTCTGTTGACAATTGATGATTTTTGCTGCTATTCTATTGATAAAGGATTTCCAAATCTCATTTGTTTGGATACAGAGGAGACTGATCCCACTGCATATGGAGGACCATTAGATCTCTCAAAATCACAGGGTGTGATTCCTGCCTTGGTTTTTGGTTTTTCAGGTAAGTTCTCAACAATTCTTCTCAGAATTGGAGCTGTTCCAATATAACTTTTGAATAGAAATTTAGAAAAAAAAAAAGGGGAAAAAAAGAAAAAGAAGAGTAGAGAGAGAGAGAGAAGAAGATAAGATAATGTTAATGAAATTAATATTTTTTCCACGAACATGTGATGAGTTTTAGCCAAAATGTGTCAATTTTCGTTGAAAGGGAGAAGATAAGGTTGACAGTGTTCAGCTTTTAATTTTCATAACTACCTATTTGAATTTCTACATTTTATTATTTAATACATTATTGGATGTGAACTGCTGATGGTTAAGGAGACCCATACTCTGTTGACATGTAAAGCAAATCCCACCTTTTTGTGCTGAAATGGATTAATATATGCTAACTGGGAATATTGTACAAGAGAAAAGGGACCAATTGCAGGTACAGTTCAATTAAATAGATGCTAAATAAAATTTTGTCTTCTTATCGCCCAAATTTCCACTTGACATTTTTTTCTTCCATCTGCCAATTTCGACCAAGTGTTTTATGCTTTTTGCCAGCCCACCAAGGCTTACCCGTGCCAACCCCTTACCCTAAATTGTACTCTCTTTCTACGGTCTAGCCTTCCCATATGCCTCTGGCAAAATTTTTGCCTCTGCAACTTTAATTGAATTGATGATTTCTGCTGTTGTTCTGTTGTTATAGGATTTTCATATCTCATCTGTTTGGATACAGAGGACAATGATCCCACTGCATATGGAGGACCCTTAGATTTCTCAAAATCACAGGATGGGATTCTTGCCTTGGTTTTTGGGTTTTCAAGGTAAGTCCTCAACAATTCCTCTCAAAATTGGAGCTATTCTAATATAACTTTTGAATAGAAAGTTAGAAAAATACAAAAATGAAGAAAAGAAAAAGGAGAGTAGAGATAGAGAGAAGAAGAGAAGATAATTTTAATGACATTAATATTTCTTCCACG